CTGAGGCCCGAATGAGAGAATGCAGAGGTGGCGGGCAGTGATGGAAAACCGCTGGGAAGTGGAAAGTGGTGATCTCCATGTGGGGAGTGGCACCTGTGGTGATCGCTGTCTCCTCTGCCCTTCTCGGTGCTTTCCTCCATCCACCCCCTACCTGCTCGATCCTGTGAGCAGGTGTTTGCCTGCTCTTCTCTACTCATCACTCACTCAACTGCATTTGTTGGGAGTGCCAGCCTCTCACATTCTGCCAGTGTCCAGGAGTTGGGCTAATGTTGAAGATTAACAGGCCTAAAATAATTTCAAATTTAGTCATAATTTAAATAGAGGTTGACTTGCAATATACCACTGGGCTATTTATATAAAGGACTTCAAGCCACAATCTTTCTTTTTTTTTATTAGAGAGAGAGAAAGAGAGAGATGCCTTTTCACTTACTTATGCATGTATTGGTTAATCGAACCTGCAACCTTGCTGTATTGGAACGACACTCTAACCAACTGAGCACCGGTCAGGGCCAAACCAAAAATCTTTAAGTATATGAGTCAGAGATGAAATTTACTTATCTAAGAACACACTGTTTTTTGTTTTGTGTGTGTGTGTGTGTTTTAATATTTTTATTGAATTTAGAGAGAGAGGAAGGGAGAGGGGAGAGAGATAGAAACTTCAACAATGAGAGAATCATGGATCGGCTGCCCCCTGTATACCCCATACTGGGGATTGAGCCCACAACCTGGGCATGTGCCCTGACCAGGAATCAAATCTGTGACCTTTTGGTTCACTGAACCACACCAGCTGGGCAGAACACACTTTTAAAGTACTTTTAGGAATGCCAGTTACACTCAACAGTATAGTTAAGCAGAGAGTAACCTCACGTAGGCCGATGTACAAACACGTTAGTCTCTTACGGAAGGACCCACCAGTTGACATTTCAGCCTTCCCGGGATGCTCCAGAATGGGTGGGAGCAAAGTCCATGGTTTGTACCTGTACCTCTGGGGCCAGAACAATCCTGAGTTTTGAGAACTGCACAGTGGGCACTAGAAATGGCCAATTAATTACCTTGTCGATTCTCTTGGGCCATGCTTTTGCCACAGATTGATCTGTGAGTTGATTAATTTGAGGCTGGGGGTAAGGGAGGTAGAATGAAGAATAAATAATTTATTAATTCAAACAATAAATAAGTTTGCAAAGAAAGAGGCTAAACGAGGTAGAACCTACATCTTGATGTATGTGTAAACCATCAATTCTATAGACTTGATATCTTGATCATTTTTCTGCAAGAAGTCTTCTCTCCTCTGAGTGTAATAAAACTTGCTATATGAAAACAAACTTCCCCTTACTCCATCAAAACTTCTTCAAACTTTTTGCTGATTCCAGACTGCCCCCTCCGTGTGCCTGGTCAGAATAGGGTGTCTTTTGGTTCCCACCCGAGAATCCGATTGTGCCCTTTTTGAGTGTATAGATAGTTTGCTGATGTCCGGCTGGCATGGCTTAGTGGTTGAGCGTCAACCTATGAACTAGGAGGTTGCAGTTCGATTCCCCATCAGGGCACGTGCCTGGGTTGTGGGCTCAGTCCCCAGTAGGGGGTGTGTAGGAGGCAGCCAATCAGTGATTCTCATTGTTGATGTTTCTCTCTCTCTCCCTCTAAAAAAAAAAAAGTTTGCTCAAAAAGAACAGAGTGATAATAAATAGTGTAGCTTGATTGGCTACTTAACCGTGTGAACTAAGTGCTTTATTTTCATTATCTAATTTAATTCTATCAGCAGTGGCACCAGGTAGGCATTATTAGCTCCCCTTTTAAAATAGCCTCAGACAGTCTGAGGCTGGCTTTGACTAAGAACCTTTTCGAGGCTGCAGAGCGTTGGAAGGTTCAGTGGTTAAGTGGGAGCTGGTGTGTTAAGGAAGGTGGGCTGCAGTCTGACTTTATGACCATTGCTTCCTGTCTTCATGTAAATCTTTTCTTCAAGATGACATCTTGCAAACTCCCCAACATCTTACAGACACCCTCTTGATTAAGAATCATGGGTTAATTCACTTGGGGCTCTTTCAGCACAGGGGAGTGACCTTGTCCACTACCCCTGCCCCGCAGCATACCTGGGGCAGGTGAGCCCATTTCTGTGTGCTCCAGGCCTCAGAGGCAACAATTCCTCACTTGGTTCCAGTTTTCTAGGACTTGGAAGTAGCTCCCAGCCTGAGGATTTTGTGATTTGGAGTCTATTCCTTGGAGCCAAGGAAAATGCTGAGGGCCCGGGGGAGAAAGGGCTGTGTTTGGGCCTATGGGCCTGGCTGGGGGCTGGGAGGCGGTGTCCATGTGTCCTTGGAGAGACAATGGGCATATCAGTGAGCATGTAGCCCTTGGGACCCACTGAGCCCAGAGGTCAGATTATATCCCTTGAAACAAAGCTTTGGGCTTAAGCTCTTACCCATTTAGTTCTGAGCCCACTAGCCTTGGGTGAGACGCTGCACGTCCGGGAGGAGGGGGCTTCCACCCAGCAGTTCTCTGCAGCTGGACCACAGTGCTCAGTGTAGCAGGCAGCACTGGGCCAAAGGCACAGCCTCGGGTGTTGGACTTGGGCATTGCTGTCCTCGAGGAGAGGGAGGCAGCCTTGACCATGGGCGCCAAGGGGCCCGGGGGTGAGTCAGTGTGGCTGCCCAGCCCCGGAGACAGGTTTCCCTTGAGGTGATTATTGGCCAAGGAGGAGAACGCAGCCAGCCAGGCCTTATTAAAATTGTTAGTGGCGAGGAATCGTCTCTAGGAACTATCCCCTGCAGGGCTGACAGAGTCCGAAGCGGTAAAATCCAAGTTTCCACCGAATTTCCCACCCAAGCTTCGCGAGCTCTGGCGTAGGAGGAGGCCGGCTTGCCAGGTGTTCCTGACGCAGCTGAGAGCAATCATTGCCACAGCCACCCTGCCTCGGCCATCGCCCACGCCAGGCACTGGGCTCACACTGTTTGCGCTGCTCTCCAGAGCCTTCCAGGTTTGGCGTTGTCACCCCCATTTTATAGATGGGACTAAAGGGCTAAGTTTGTAACTGGTTGGACCGGGCTTCAAACTTGGGTCTGTCTGGGTTTCTTTCCATTCCACCATTACGCCTCCCCAGAAGGTAGCACTGGCCCAACCCAAGATGTTGATCCTGAGAGAGCATCTGGGCAGCAGCCATGGGCATGGGATTGGCTCCAGGAGATGAGGTGGGAGTGGAGCGTGGCACTGGGTGAAGGCCTTGGCTCGGATTGTTTCCTTGCATGGACAGGAGAGGTGAATGCCTCGTTTAAACACAGAATCATACTGGTAGGAACAGGATGCCCTCCATCTTGTTCTTGTCCTGATTTCTGGGGGTAGGTCCATAGGGAAACGACTAGCCTTGGGGGAACTACGGTGTTTGGGATCCACACAAAAGCAGAGGCCTTTCTGTGGCTTTCCTGTCTTACCGATGCCGGCCGTAGGATCTCCTTTACCTCTGTGCCCCTCGTAGACCTCAGCACTCAGGTTGTATGCTATTACTGTCTACCCTCAGTTTCAGCATGTCCTTGATCCCAGGAGGCACACTTTTTCATACTTTAATATCTGTGCAAATTGGCACATCTTGGAATGAGGTCTACATTTGATGTGGTGGGGCTGTTTAAAATGATGTTGCATTTTTAGAATCGATGGAGACCAAGACTGAGTAAATACGATAATTCATGCACTTGTTCAACTCATCAAATGCCTACAGTAAAAGCCAGGCATTATGCTAGATGCTTAGCATATAGAAATAACCTTTTGTAGTCCCTTGCCTTTGGGAGGTCACAGTAAAGGGAGGAAATAGACTAGATAGAGCAACAGTTATAGTTCATTGTGACAAGGGCTCAGAATTTGGGAGACCAAGGTGTGTGGAGGATCAGAGGAAGGAGGGAGGAGAGGTGAGGGAGGCTGGGACCACTTTGCAGAGAAGGTGTGTCACGAAGGAGGTGGGAATCCGAAGGGATTAGAAGTGGGCTGGGCATGGGTTATGGAATGGTATTCTGGAAAGATTGAATTGTTGGAGCAGACAAAGTTCAAAATCATGAGAAACTTGGACGTGCTTGCAAGCTTAATGGGTTTGTTGTGGCTGGAATGGAGTGTGTGTGGAGACATGGGTGTAAAATGAGGCTGTGGGAATAGGAAGGAAGCAGATCATGGAGGACCTCGAGTGCCACCCAAATTTGCTTGAGGTCCTGCACGGTCACGAGCTTAATCTCCATCCTGAGTCTAGCAAGTCGTGTGGGGGTTTTAAGCAGGCGAATGACGCCCTGGTCTGTGTTTAGGAAGTTGTGTAGAAAGCAGACGGGAAGAGGATGGCAGGTAAGATGAGGTGGATAGAGTGGCAGCTATCGGCAGAGAAAGAAGAGTTACCCCGAATGAAGCAAAGCCTCATTTTCATTTACTATTTCCAGGCAGGGTGGAGGCTTGAGCCCTGGTGCAGAGGGGCAGCTAGAACCTGCACGCACAAGTGACCTGTTCTTGCCTTAACCCTGTCACGTGTGCCCTTGTCTCGGGAGAGCCACCTCATCAGCAGGCAGCTGACTATAAGAAGGGATGCTGGGAAAAGCTGGAAAGACAAGAAAAGCTTAGCACCGCCTCTGCTTGTTAAACAAGGGTCACATCAACCTACAATGGGGACATCTAACCTGTATTTGCCAAATTAGTTCACCAATCAGACTTTTTTACAGTTGGATGGGAGTGTATGCCAGTGTTTGGGGGAAAAATGTGTGGGTATTGGTGAGAACCATCACAGGAAACACATATTGGATCTAAGATAGTGTTAGAAGTCATAAGAAAGAAGTAGATAAGTTTCCGTGGCTGTACATGGGAGTCATGCAGAAAACATAATGTTGTCGGCTGACGAGCCCACTCTGGGGACAGATGCTGGGGTGAGAGGTGGAAGGAGCTCACCCACCATACTGGGGATGCTTTCGAAGGGGTAAGAGATGGCTGTTGATATTGTGCCCCAAGACTTACAGTTCTTCCCCTTTGACTTTTTCGTACAGGTGCAGTGCCACACTTACACGGGGTACTGCTGGTGTGTCACCCCAGATGGGAAGCCCATCAGTGGTTCTTCTGTGCAGAATAAAACTCCTGTATGTTCAGGTACCGTAGGGAGGGGCGGGAAGAAAGAAAAGGGTTGGAGAGAGACCTCTTGGCTGTCCCCTGAATTCTGTAGGGGAATATTTGAAAGATTGGTGGTGGTTATCAGCCATCCTCAGGTGAGGGAGGGTCCCACTCGAACATGCACTTGCTCTTAGTCAGCCGGGTGACAGAGTCAGTATATACCTGTATGCATATATTTATTATTGTAAGTGTAGGTTTCTGGTTCAAGGCTCTTTTCCCCAAATATTGGCTGTAACCCCTAGAGCACGGCATATACATTTTTAGCTCGAATGCTCTGGCTGCTAGTGGCCCTGGGAGCTCTTGATTGAGGTGGATTTCAAGGCTGCATGGGAATGCAACAATAAAGACCATGATGATCAATTAGTGATAGTTGCCATGAGCACAGGAGAGGAGAGTGGTGGCCTATGCACCATAGGTGTGCCACCCCTGAACAATGTAATGTAGAGCGATGGAGAACTCTCACCACAGTGGTCCTCACACCTGGCTGCCCTCGGCGGTGCCTGGGGGACGAAAAAGAACCCAGGTGTTGAGGCCCCTCCTGTATATTCTCACCCAGCAGGTCTGCAGTGAGACCTGGAGTCCACATGTGTATGAAGCTTCTTGGATGGTTCTGATGAATAGACCAGTTAGGGCACCACGGCTTTATAGTGACCCTCTAGGTCAGCCCATGGCAAAAATTAAGTCCTTTCTATTTCCAACTTGATAAGCATAGGGAAATTTTGCTCTTAGGTTAGCTTCAGGGGACTGTGGACTATGGATTTACACAAGCCCCACACTTTCACCTCCCATGAAGATGAGAGTTTCTCCCTTAATTCACTATGCCGCTCAGCCTTCATTAAAAAATACAAAGCCCTATCCCACCATCTGCTGCTTCATATTTCTCAATAGCTATGTGTATGAGGTTTTATGTATTTACTTATCTTAATTTTGAAGTGCAAGCAAAGGATGAAACATTATTCTAAAACCTATGGGAGATCCCAGAGGCTAGCAGTTCTGCTATCCTAACATTTTCCTTTTTTTTCCCCACAAAATTTATTCATTTTTCTTCTGGCCCTGCTATATAACGGGAGAAGTAAGTGGGAAGGGCAGTAAGTATCTACATTAGGAAACCAAGACTTTCAGGCCAGAAAGGGAAGTTTATTTTTGGTTTACATGGAAACTGGAAACCTAAATTGGGTTGTTGTGGGAGGGGGCAAGAATGAGCCCTCCTTGCAGATGACCTGGAAAGTTCCATTGAAAGCAAACAAATGCACTAGAAGCAAGTCATGCAGGGTAAGATAACTGAATTCTCACAAAATCAGTGCCTGGAAAAAGGGTATGATATAGACTGCGGAAATATGGGTTCTTTCTTTTCTTTTGGCGTGGACGTCCATAGATGCCTTTCTGTGGATGAGCTGGCTGTGCCCTGCCTGTGTGGTGGGTTTTGTGGAAAAGACAGGTGCCACATGGTCAGAACCAAAGGATGGGTGCATATGGCATCCTAGCATCTGCAGGGCAAAGTGTTTGGCCAAACTCACACACTACCCTCTCCTTAAGGAACAGCCTGCTGCATCTAGAAAATTGTTTCCATGCCTCAGACTATTTTGGCCCATTCAGGACAATTGGGCCAACAATTTTCTACTTAATGCAGATGGAAAATCGCCGATTTCCTGCCCTAACCAGCAAGGGATGTCAATCATTGCATTTGCAGTAAGAGGGGGTTTCTTTTTGGTTGGTCCTACTGAATAGCTATGGCTCAGAACATGGAGCCGGTGGGGGAGATGGGGAGTGGAGGCGAGGGGCAGTCATTGGAATGTTCAATAAGGGAGAAGTCTGGTTACAACTATTGCCAGGGAACCTGGAAATCATGGTTCATCTCAACAGTGCTGTGATATCAGTGACATTGACATTAAACAAACCCCACTCAACATGTATGTATGTACTAACTGTGTATATAATGTCCCTAGATATGTATACGATATATATACACATAACCATATGCTCATAACATCAGGCTGTGCCAACACTATGAAAGGAACCAACCGCGATGCATTCTGAATGTCTTGTGTTTCTGTTTCCCCTCTCACCCAAGGTTCAGTCACCGACAAGCCCTTGAGCCAGGGTAACTCAGGAAGGAAAGGTGAGTAGAGTTTTATGCTTTATCTAAATGTTTGCTCCTAAAGCCAGTCCAAGCAAGAATTCTTGGACAAGATGGATGGAGCTGGGGTGAGAGCTAAAGGTGCCCTGCAGAAAATATCCATTCTTATTCTGTGTTTCCTCCCAGAAGCACCGAGGTGAGTAAGGCTCATCGGTGGTGGGGACCAAGCTCCCAGGATTTCTGGGGGAGGTGAGCGAGTGCAGGCCACAGAGCCGGCAGGGACCCTGAGAATCTTGGTTCCTAGGAGGTTCAGTCAATCAGTGTCGCCAGCATTAAACAAGAAGGATAATGAAAGTACTAGTAGGCGTGCTCAAGTCTGCTCCGACTCTCTTATTTTGGAAACCCATGAGCATTATTTCCCTCACTGCTTCTCAATAACTATTCCAGCTCCTCCAGTTTCTCTTCACTAAGACTAGGCTGGCTTCATGGGCTTGCCCCCCGTGCATTGGTTGTCATAAAATTCTCAACTATTTTGTCTTTGAACTTGTGCTTGTAAGTGCGGAAAGTCGACGGGACAATGACACGTGCGTGTGAGCAGCAGTACATGCAGTTGCATGTCTGCTGTGGATCCTTGGTCCCATGTGCACGTAGCTTTTGTGATGCATGCTTTTATAGTACGCTCAAAAATTTAATTTTTCTTTACCTACAGCAACATCAAATAGCAAATTAAAAGCATCATGGCCAGCCGAGAGAGACTATGGAAGAGAGGATACAACTTTACTTTTAGTCTCTTTAATGACACTTTCCCCTGCTTTTTGAACAGAAGGCCTGTCGTTTTCAACTGTGTACTGGGCCCTACAAATTATATATACCCCGATTAAGGCATATGTCTGAGTGCTCTTTAGGGGTCCAGCTGCCATGAGGAGCAGGTCCCCGGGGTATGCGGACCATAATTTCCGGTGTGGCAGACACTAAGATCACCGCTGCTCACCTCCAGGATGACATACAAGCACACGGAGAGTTGTGGTTGCATAGAAAATAACTCACGATTTCATTGCATGAGTGAGAAATCCAGAATCCCATTTTCAGGTAAAACCCAGACAAGGGACCTTGGCTGAGTTTGAGGCTTCCCACTTGAATCTGGGCCTTGGGAACTTCATGCTCATAAGACCCACGTGCTAGTTGGCACACACTGTCACAGGGAGACCAAGGTGAGTCCCTAGACCAGGGGTGGGCAAACTTTTTGACTCGAGGGCCACAATGGGTTCTTAAACTGGACCGGAGGGCCGGAACAAAAGCATGGATGGAGTGTTTGTGTGAACTAATATAAATTCAAAGTAAACATCATTACATAAAAGGGTACGGTCTTTTTTTTTTTTAGTTTTATTCATTTCAATCCGGCCCGCGGGCCGTAGTTTGCCCACGGCTGCCCTAGACCCTGCTCCAGGCACTTACTGAATAGAGAGGGGAGGAGGAGGCCAGGTCACCCTTTCTGAACGTAGGAGATGAGTGTCCGGAGAACCTGCTGCCTAGTTGTGGGTGCTCCAAGAAGATGTGGAAGTAGGGCATGGTGACACCACCACCCACTGCAAAACATGGACCAATGGACTAGATGGGCTGCTCCTATTCCTGTGAGCAGGAATGAGTAAGTGGGTGAAAAAAAGAGAGCAAGTGCCTTCCCAGGTCTTCCTGGGAACAGCGGAGACAGCTGTGAGTGTCTTTCTGCAAAGAGCTGGAGTCATCCATTCTGTGAATGGCGTGTATCTACGATGTATTGGGGCTGGAAAAGAAAGCTGCCTTCAGTGTTTCTTGTTGCAACAGGAGTCTTCAGAACATGCGCTTTATTTCTGGGCATGAGGTCCTGGTAGTAGGGAAAAAAAAAGGCAGTCCACTCAGAACTGACCACCCAGATTTTCCCCACGAGAGGGTACAGAGTTCATGATGCTGAGTAAAGCACCCTCACCAAGAAAGGCCATGGGGTTTGGGTTCTTAAACTGCACAGAGAAGTGCTTTCCAGATTGATGTGACTTCGCACCCCATGGATAACGTAAGAATCAGACACATGGTCATGGTGGGATCTCACGGATTTATCAGGAAGAGGGCAAGGAACCTGATTCCTCCAGGGGTGGTGCAGGGAACAGGGGCATAGAGTCTGAAGCTTCATCTCAGAGCTAAGCTGTCATCAATTTTTAGTTCTTTGCTGTCCTATACCAGATGAGTTCCTCCCTCCGTGATGGTTCTGCAGAGGCCCCCTGTTTAGTGAAAAGGCCTGAGGGGGGGGGGAGGGAGGGATGCTAGGGCTTATTTGCCTTGGAGAATTGACGTGTCAGTGAGCTCTCTTCCTTCTACTTGGGAGGATCGGTGTAGGTGCTGATCCTGTTCTCTCTCTGCCATGGGCAGTGCAGTGAAATGTAGTTTGGGGCCACCTGTAGGAAGGGCCACCTGAAGCCACACCTGCCCAGGAAGCTGAGGTTTGAATGGGGACAGGGTGCGAGAGGGCATTCGTAATATCCTGTGTTGGCCCACTGAGGTCCCTCTTTCAGCTGCCACTTAAGAATGGAATGTGCTCCGAGGGCAGCAGGTGGGAAGACACAAAGGCCCCTTGTCTGAGCTCGTGCCCACACGTGGGGTCTCCTAGCAGGCATCTCCAGAGAGCCGGAGCTCGCAGCCCTGAGGCCTGCCACAGGCAGATGCTGGGCCTGGCCCTCGTGCAGGGCAAGGGTCCCGGTGGGAAGGAGGTGAGGCTGGAGGGCTGGGTGTGTGAGCGGTGGGGGGCTGCGGGGGAGGAGCAGCCCCGGCCTATTCTTTCCCCACCCTCTTGAACATGCTCCACTGACAGGGCTGGAGGGATCGGTTCTCTCTGCCTGGAAGGAATGAAAAGACGTATTGTGCAGCCACAGAGAGTCTGGTTGCCAGCCAGGAACGAGTCCTCCAAAGCAGAGGAGAAAGGCAGAGCGAGAGGAGGCTGGGGGAGGAGGCCCAGAGAGATAGCAGGAGCAAAGGAGGAGGGAGAGAGGCCAGGCAGTAGCAGGTCACAGCCGGTTGGCCTGGACTGGGAGGCCTGGGTTGCTGAGGCTCCTGGGTCCACAGGTGTGGAGCCCGAGGGGAGAAGGGGAGGGGGATGGGGTGCTGTTATCTTACCCAGATGCACGTGCTCCTGGAAGGGAGAGGGTCAGAACTTCAGACTATTTATTTAATCCCTTGGAATGTCCTTGCCTGGCTCTGATCTTTGGGCCCCTTGTGTTTCACCGACTCCTTTACAGGCACATGTGTGGTAATTAACACGTGCAGTGTAGGTCCCGGCCATGTGTTTGGGTTTCAAATATCCATTGATCTGGGGCACTCCCTTCCCGGCCACCCCTCCCCTTCTTCTCCTTTGGTTCTTGCCCTTGAAGAGTGACAGAAGGGGGGGGGTCTGTGTGTATTGGAGGGTGGGGGACACACGTGCATCCACATGTATTTTATTGAGGCTACAGAGGAATGTCAGAACAGGGGAAAGAGCCCCCAACAGCCCTTAACCCCTGACGATCTAAAACCGCCCAAGGCTGCAGAAGTTGTGGTAGAGATGAATTTTTGGTTTCAACTGAAGAATGGCTGGGAAGCAAATGTGTTTAGAGATCATGAATTTACCCAGTGGCTTTTCCTGGCCGACCAAAGCTCGTGGGGTTTCCTAGGTGCCTCTTTTTGGGATGTTGGTGATAATGAATGTGGATGACTTGGGGAGCCCTCGGGATAACTGAATACAGCCAGGGACTGGTCCCGGAGTCATTGCTTGTGAGGTGGCAGAGGGAATGCACCGCCTCCAGCGCGTGCGGTGGGGGAGGGGCGTGGCGAGGAGTGACTGCATGAAAGAGAGGCGAGCCCTTGTACACTGAGTGCTGGCAGTTCTCCGGGAGGTTTTTCCTTCTGGACCTGGGACCTAGAGAGCCCAGGGTGATGCTTCTGTACATGGCAAGGGGAAAGTCTAGTGCCGTGGTTGGCAAACTGCGGCTCGCAAGCCACATTCGGCTCTTTGGCCCCTTCAGTGTGGCTCTTCCACAAAATACCACGTGCGGGCGAGCACGTACAGTGCGATTGAAACTTCGTGGCCCATGCGCAGAAGTCAGGATTTTGTGGAAGAGCCGGTATTTTGTGGAAGAGCCACACTGAAGGGGCCAAAGAGCCGCATGTGGCTTGCGAGCCGCGGTTTGCCGTCCACTGGTCTAGGGTCATCAGGGGTTTTCTGCAGTTTGCCTTTTTCTCCTTGTACCAGGTCTGGGAGTTCGCTGTTTAAAGAAAGTGAGGACAAAAATAAAAACACGAGCAGCCTCTGCGTACATTTCCCCATGGGCTTCTGTATTTGTCAAGCCAGTCTTCGAGAGGCACTGAACTTCCAAAACCCAACCCACCTTTAATTTGCAGAGATTTTTTTTTTAATCTTCACTGGCTGCTGTGTAGTATGTGCTCCAGGTAAAGAGTAGGTCACACTCTTTTATCCAGGTAAAGATAGAGACAAAGGTCCCTCTCTTTTGTCTCTATCTTTAGAATTTCTCATGGAGCCTGGGTCTACAGATTGGTACCAGCTGGGAGATCTTGTCACTCAAGTGACGGATGAAGCATCCTCCTGATTCGGGGCTGAGGGATGTGCTTAGGGCAGGGGTGACGGATGGCGGGCATCCCAGAGGAGGGGGTGGTTAGCACACCTGAAGGAGGTTCACCTCATTGCCCTGAGCCTGGCTGAGGTGTGCAGGCTCTTGTATTGGGACATTCTACATGTGGGGTGTCGCTCCTGCTGTACCCTCTTCCCAGCTATCTCTCTGATTCCTCTTCCCCCAGCACCGAGGGAGAAGCTGGATCAGTAGTTGATCTGTCAGCATGGCCATCAGATGGCAAAAGTGTGATGACCTACCAGCCTGCGCTGGGTTTGAATGGAGGCGGGCAGCGGATGACCTGTATGGGTTGGCTTCTGTGCACACTGAATTACCCTGTGGGATGAGAAGCATTCTCATTCCCATGCTGTGCTTGCTGGCCAGAACTGTGCCTGAGCAGCTCCAAGCCCAGGA